CCGCTTTACAGTGTATTTGATTTTAGTTTGAAATAATTCCGTTTCAGAATCTATGATAGATATAAATAGATATATGGGATGTTATATGTAATGAACAGAAATCAAATAGAAATGTATCACAAGGTTCATTAAAGAAGACAGTCTTCAAAGCAAAGGGAACTTAAAGAGCCCAAGGTTTAGGAGTCAGGAATTCAGGGGTCTTCTGTGGCCAGGCTATGTCCAAGGGATTCATTCTGTGAATGATGGGATGTGGCTTGTTAATAAACACAGACCAGTTTAAAGGTCTCAGACCATCGTTGCCCAATTGGACTGTGGCCCAGAATTCCCAGGAGCTCTGGTGTTTTTCAATTTAAAAAAAAAAAAAAGCTAGATTTCTTTTTCCTTTTCTTTTTTCAAATTATCAGAGGGAGAGACAGAAAGAAAGGAGAAAGCACTCCCCAATGGGGTGTGGTCATGCCTTGATCCCTTCTCTTCACTTCTCCATCCTCTTGGGATTTGGGGGACCCATGTACATGTCCCCAGCACTGCCAGGTCAGGAATTCAAACTGGGTGGTCCTCAGTGCAGTATTGAGTTCCCTTAACCACTAGGCTACAGGGTGGACCCATTCTGTTTATTTTTAATGATTCACATTTTAAATGGACTTAGGTGGTCTTCAGTCATTTCAAAACATCAGGCCTTAGGTTGCAACATCTGATCCTAATCTAATGACTTTTTTTTTTTTTTAAGAGATTTTTGCCTTAGGGCTCATACACTTGTGTATGTGGGGAGGGGGGAGACAGACAGACACGGTGAGAGGGAAAGTGAGAAATCACCCCCAGGAGGATGACCATGCCTCAGTCCCTTCTCCTCCATTCCCCTCTCGGGATCCTGAGCACACAGGCACATGCTTCCGGCGTGATTTTCAAGCCACTGGGTCTGGGACTTGAACCACAGTCGGCGGTGGGGAGTCTAGCAACTTAGCTGCTAGCCTCTCTAATCACTCATTGAAAGAAAACAAACCATGTAATGTGTGACTTTGAATATATTTGCTCCTTAGGTTCTTAAAGAGATAGAAGTGCGTTTTCCCTGTCAAGGATTTCTTTCTTTTTTTTTAAGTAAATTTCTCTCTTTTATGAGACAGAGTATGTGAGAGATCTCCTTCCCTAGTTAGAATATTGAGCATGTGCACCCCAAGTCAGGTGGGAATCCAAATCCATGGTGGGCCACGTGAGTTCCAGCTCTGCAGATCAGTATGCTATCTCCTGTTCCACCAAGGCTGGGCCAATCATTCCTTATCTGACCAAAAAAGAAATGTGCTGATTCTTCCTGAATCTGTGGTATAAGTTAGCAGGTATTCTCTTTCTAGGTTACCTCATTCCCTTATACCACCTCTCTTCACCCTACTTGCTGTCATCAAATGAATAAAGTCTTTCCATTACATGTTTTAGAGTTTCAGCCATATTTAGTGTGCACTGAAAATGTGTCAGTTGTTGCACTATCACTAGGGTGAGTTTGTAAACAAGACAGCCTGGTTTCTGCCTCTGTGCAGCTTCATGTCTATCAGAGAAGACTGACACTACAACACATACTCACCCAAAACGTGTGGTGGCTGTTAAGAAAGGGGGAAGGAAGCTCAAAGCTCATAGCAGAGAGACTTTTATATAACCTGTCAGTTCCTAAGACTCCTAACATGTGAGAGTCTCCAGGCAAGACTGCAAATAAAGGCCCAGACATCATGTCTAAATATTTAAAAGTTATAAATCAAGCTTTAAAAATTAAATATAATTAACTTCCAACATTGACAATGCACCTCTTTAATAACCTAGAAGTTTGGGTTCAAATTGAAATGTCTTGACTTCTTGGAGGTGAGGGCTGGTTGCCCACCCACCAACTGCCAGCTCACCAACTGCAGTTTGGGCCTCTTCTCTTCCATAACCTGGTTCCACACTGGAATAGACCTTAAGAAAACGAAAGTATCCCCTAGCTACAATGTTCAAATCCTGCCCACTCCCCCCACACACACCAGCTCCACAAAAGAGCTCTAGCTACATCCCCCTGCCCCCTCAAGAGATGCCTCTTGGCCATTGCTACTCCTCTGTCCTGACTTTGAGGAATTTATGATTCTCTAGGTTGGAAAATGCCTAGAGAACAGAAATACCTTGCAATAACAATACAGTTCTGGGCACACTTTTCTCCCCCTTTCGGATAGCCATGTCCCTTCTGATCCATACTGTCAATGAATGAATAATCCCCAAGTAAAACAGATGATAAATGTTTTCCAAAAGAAGCTTTTCCTACCTAAAATGTTATGCATCTTTTACTTTGAGGTCTATCTCCCTTTAAATCTGCAGTTTAGATGACTTTGGTTTAAATAATATACCTTTTTTTTCTATCTACTCTTTTACACTTCCTCTCCTTGATACCTGCATATACTACGCATGAGAGAGATCACAATAGCTTAAGCATTAATAGGCCAGACGATGTGATATCCTACAGCTATGCCGTCCAGTACAGAAGCCACTACCCACACATGGTTATTTAAATTAGTTAAAAATAAATAAAGCTTAGAATTGATTCTTCATTCATGCTAGTTTCCTTTTGAGTGCTCGATAACCACCATTTTGTGGCTATCATATTGAGTGACAAAGATATAGAACATTCTAGGAACCAGCAGGTGGCATGGTGGTTAAGTCGCTGGACACTCCTATGTGGCATAGTGGTTAAGGCGCTGGACACTCCCATGTGGCTGACCATGGTTTGAGTCCCGGGCCTGGTGGCTTCCTTTCTCACTTTCCCTTTCTCTCTCTCTGTGTCTCTCTCTGGTCAAATTAAAATAAATGAATGAATAAATAAATATTTTTTTTTAAATACAGATAAAAAAAGATATAGAACATTCTCACAAAAAGTCCTCTGGCTACTCTAGAAGGAACACAGATTTAGCAACAAACAGACTTTCATCTTCTCAATTCCCATCTTCATCTTCTACTAGACTTGAAAACATGGTAGGTTTCTAAACTTTCAAAGTTTCAGTTTATTAAATGATAAAATCAAAATACAAATATCTACATCTGTAAAGCAGTCCATATAATGCCCAACATACTTTAATTATTTAATAAAACTATTATTAATACTTACAAATTAAAATGTAAGCGTTTGAGTTCAAATTAGACATCAATATTTCCCTCATGCCCTGAGTACTCAATAAAACTTGCTGGCTACCCAAAATATTAAATTAAAATTGAAAACATCATAGCATACTCACATATTTTTATTCCTCATTTATGACATGAAACTTCTATAGAAGAAAACAACTTGAATTGTCCTAGAGAAATCTTAGACACAGGTATGTGTTTAAACCCATAAATGGACCCAGAAGATTTCTTATTCCCAAACCATCACGACATTTAACTCAGAAACATATTGGGCAAATGTTTTACTTGTACAAGAAGTCTCTCAGCTATCTAAGTTTGACCTAAACAGCAATGAGGCTAAATTTACACTTTCCTCCCTAGTTTAGCTTGGATATAAAACCCATGGAATTACACATGCCAGCACTTTCCAAAGTACTACAATTTATCTAAGCATCTCTGCAGCCCTACCCACTCTCCTCTCTTTCAGATCAATATGGAGCTTGTGTAATAGCATCCAAAGCTGAGAGATAGAGCTTGGATAATGTGTTCAGAGAGCATAATCCCTGTTGCCCTCACAGAGGGACACATTACAGCCAGAAATGCGAGCAGCTAGAGCCGAGATAAGTCCAGACTCATCGAACCAGTGTTTTATCAACCACAACTTCACAAACAACCAGAACAAACATAACAAGAAGAAGCTGTGAGTAACCTGCAACTCATTATGATATGAAATTCAAATAATTGTTAACGTCACACTTTACTTGGACAGATCAGTTTCTCAAGCGTCTAAAAAAAAAAGGAGCAGCAGCAAGGTAATGCAATAAAATGATTTAAAAATATAAAGAGGATAATATTCCATCCTCACTATGCAAAGCTAGATTGCAAAACATATTAATTAAAGAAGCATTTAGTTTGTTCTTTCCCTAGAACTTTTGTTGAGTTTTATATAAGTTTTCTTTCTTTCAAAGAAGTACAAATAAAGGGAATGATTACTCTTGGTATACTGTATCTGAGTAACAGGGGCAAACCTCAGAATGATGAAAGAATGTTTTCTGAGGGTCAGCAGGTGGCATAGTGGTTGAGATGCTGGACTCCACATGACTGAGGGCAGTTTGAGTCCTGGATCTGGAGGCTTGAAACTCTGACCAGGTGGGTGTGCATACATCCCCCAAATCCTGAGAGGAGAATGAAAGAAAAGGAATTGCAGCATGGCCATCACCCCCCCACACCTGGAGGGAGGGCGTGATTTCTCACTTTCTCTCTCTCTGTTTCTCTGGCAAGCACATGCACCCTATAGCAAAAATCTCTGTAGAAAAAAAAATTTTTTTAAAGAATGTTTTCTGATGCACAATGCCAGCAAACACAGTTCAAGTCACTCTCTAACTGTAAAGCGGAAAATCTGAACTGGGATAGCCCCTGCCATATGAAATGGTCATAATTGTGAAAAAATATCCTTTATTAAAAGGGCAAGTCAGTGGCTTGGTGGTTAAGGCAGCTGAATCCCACATAGCCAGTTGCATGGTTCAAATCCTGGACCTAGCAGCTTGAAAAACGTGCTATGTGAGTGTACATATATGCCCAAAATCTGAAGAGGAGAAAGGAAGAGAAGGGATTGTGGCATGACCATCTCTCCTAGGGAATGATTTCTCACTTTCCTTCTTGGTTTCTCCCTGGTAAGCACATAAACCCTAAAACAACCCAAAATAAAAAACGAACAACAACAACAACAACAAAAACACATAAAAAAGCCCTTTTTTTTAAATTATTTTTTTAATGTATAATCGGCGTTTTATTTTTTCCCAAAGGACAGACAGTTCTTCAGTCCTTAAAGACTTGGCTCCTTACATGGGCTTTGGTGGAGGACGAGGGGCAGCACCCGCAGGTCTAAATTAGCCCTTCCGAGCTTCACGAGATTGGTTCCTGATTACCTTGCTATGAACGGCACAACTCACACAGTAATGTAGCTTCACATACAGCTTGGGGAACACATACGCATCAAAGACGCTTGCTTCGGAGGTATCCCTGACAGCTGCGGCCTCTACTATGTTTCGGATGATGAACTTAATAGCTTTGTCCCTGGGCACGCATTGGGCGCAGTTTGTGCAGCGAATAGGCTGCACATGGCTGCGGCCCTTTTTGGCATGGCCCTTGTTCCTTCTTTTCTTCCTCATCTCAGAAGTTAGGCCGCGAGAATGAGCAAAAATAAAAAAAATTTAAAAAGCCCTTTATTATCAGTCATTTATTTACTGTAGAAATAAAAATGATGGGGGCCAACAGGTGGCATGGTGGTTAAGGCAATGGACTCCCACATGACTGATCGCAGTTCGAGTCCTGGACCTGGCAGCTTGCTTTCTCGCTTTTCCCCTTTCTGTCTCTCTCTGGTGAACATGCATGCCCTGTAGCAAATTTAAAAATAATAATAATGATAAATAAAATAATTCTTTCAGAAAAAAAAAAAAGAAGAAATGAGAATAATGGGACCAGCAATGACATAATGGTTATGTCACTGGACTCCCAAGTAGTCGACCACAGTTGGAGTCTCAGATCTGGTGGCTTAAAACTTATGCCAGGCATGCATGCATGCATCCCCAAAATCCCAAGAGGAGAATGGAGGAGAAGGGATTGTGGCGTGGCTGTTCCCCCTAGGGGGTGATTCCTCGCTTTCTGTCTCTCTGTCTCTCTGGAGTCCCACAAAAAAGAAAGCCCTCCAAAAAAAAAAAAAAAAAAAAAAAAAGAAGAAGAAATGAGAATAATAATAGTTAACATTCATTAAGCTCTGAATACATTGTAAGCACTGTTCTCAGTGATTCAGATGTATTAACAACCGTACACGGTAAGCAGACAATATTGACTCCCATTTAACAGACGAGTAAAGTGAAGCAGAGAGAGACTAAATAATTTGTCCAAGGTCACACAGCTAGTACATGTAAGAGCCAGAATTTAAGCTTGAGCAATCTGGTTTCATTTCACACTCTAGCCTCTGTTGCCAGCTGAAACAACGATGCACTTTCATGAACACTGATTCCTTACTTTTTTTTTCTTTTTTTTAATTATTTTTATTTTTTAACATTAATATGCTATACATTATTACAGTATACAAAATGAATTTTTCATCCAATATACACTGTCTGTTGGCTCAATCAAGCACATCAACATACGTGTTATCAACAAACAATTTTTCATTTCTTAAAAAATATGGAATGCTTCACGAATTTGCATGTTATCCTTGCGCAGGGGCCACGCTAATCTTCTCTTTATCGTTCCAATTTTAGTACATGTGCTGCTGAAGCGAGCACCACTGATTCCTTACTATACGCCAGGCCACGACCATACACCAAGACTACCATCTATAGCTTATGTTTATTTATGAAAATCTATCAAAGCAAGGTATCCCAAACATTTGATTGGAGACTATTACTGTCATTAAAACCACTTCTTGGTTTTTAGAATGTATCCCAGCTGTCAGTAATTTAAAAAAGTTAAGAGGTGAATCCTGGTGACATAATTTTAGCTCTAAACCAAGCAATGCCTGAAGTTGGATTAGTCCATGTATTTTTCAATTTTGTTGTTGTTGTTGTTATGAGAATGAATAGATTTCCTCTTAAAAAATCCCGTTTGAGTTTTAGCAAAAAGATTCCTAACTAAGCTACCTTGTTCTCCAGTCACTGCCATCTCCACCCAGCCACAGTGATTGGATCGGGGTGGGTCTCTGACCTTAGGTAGTCTGTTCAAAGTAAATTGCAGAGCTTGATGTAGACATTGCCAGA